ACATGCTTGAAAAAGCAGCAAGATTTTGTACAGAGCCACTGAATTGTGCCTTTGGGCTGAAAAAGAGAAATGTGCAGTCCCATGTTATGAAACCTGCTATCCTCAGATTATTATCAACTCACACATTCCTACAGACACAAGTTCATAGACATCCAATACTAGTTTTAGGTCAGTAAGTAAACCTTTAACTTTAAAAAAAAAAACTGGACTGCAAGCAGAAAACTACAATAAACCATTTAAAAAATGAATCTTTTCTTCATATAATGAAGGACTACTGTGAGCAAAAACACACAGCTTTTCAACTGAGACCTGAAGGGGTGATGATAATTCAGCTCAGCTGGAGAAATCAGCAGAACCATGAATCTCGACAGTGCCCAGAAGACCCCAGCTAAACCATATAATTTATTCTGTGACTCTAGGAGTGTTGCTATGAGGCAGGATCTTCTGCGCTTCATACCGAGATGCTGCAGCTAAAATAAATATATTACATAACACACTTTTACATGCTAGAATAGACTTGACGTCCTGTAATGCATCATTCTAGACAGCATGCCATTAAAGTGCTGAAAAAGCATCAGTACTGTGATAGAGAAAAGGAACATGATTTTGGCCCCTTTTGGTTGAGATTATTTCCTACTTTAAGCTACTGTTTTAAATAAAGCCTGATTGATTAATACTGTAAAATTATACAGTGACCCCAAAAGTTTTTTAGATACTGAAGCCAGACTTAAAACTGTATGAAGTGCAATGCATTAGAAAACAAAATATCAAACCAAGTGAAATCTGCAATTAGAACTTTCTTCAGAACAAGCCTAACTTTTTTTTTTTTTTTAGACATTGTTCCTGGCATCAAAGTGTTAATCACGTCTGTCAACTGCGCAGAGTATTAAGAAGCTCCTAAGGTGACATTTTCTAAATAAATAAAAAATCCTGAGACTATTCACAACTATGTGCGGTGTTTTATCTCTGCCGCATTTCAGTGCATTAGTGCCTGTCCATTTTTCCGTGTTTTTTTTTTTAATTAATTTTTCCCATAGGGATTTTAAAGGGATAGTTCACCCAAAAATGAAAATGCAGTCATTAATTACTCACCCTCATGTCGTTACAAAGACCTTCGCTCATCTTCAGAACACACGTTAACATATTTTTGATGAAATCCGAGAGCTTTCTGACCCTGCATAGACAGCAACGCAACTACCACGTTCAAGGCCCAGAAATGTAGTAAGGACATCGTTACAATAGTCCATGAGACATCAGTGGTCCAACCGTACTTTTAGGAAGCAACGAGAATAGTTTTTGTGCACAGAGAAAACAAAAATAATGACTTTATTCAGCAATTCTTCTCTTCCCTGTCACTGTCCGCCCCCATTCATGAGAGTACCACGGTAGAACCACTGATGTCACTGAAAACACTTACTAAAAAAGATGAAATATTTAATTTGTTTACATGCATGTTATGTAATCATTAACTGTGCACATTGCAAATGTGTTACTTAGTTATTAACTTATTACCTTAAAATCTCTGGGAAACTTCAAGTAAATATATTAGGTCAAAGAGGTTCAAAAAAGTTATATAATGTGAATTTGTGTATTTTAATGTGTTTGAAAGACAAAACCCTTCCAAATACATAGTAATACATGGTTAAACAAAATTATAATTCAAATAAAAATGAATGTATTCATCAGTAGTTGATGCAGTGTTGAAATGTTGAGAAAACATTTATTAAAACTGAAATTATTTTTGTAAATCCAGTAGTCAAATGCTGTGTGGCCTCTCAATTTTCTGTGTAATTATAACCATCTGACTGTAATTATAATATTATATAATTATAATACTGACTGGTCTTTCTGTGATTGTCCACAGAACTGGAAGACTTGCTGAAAGTATGTAAGCGGTAAGCTATTTTAGACAGGGAAAAAAAATGAGGGAGAATCAATAAATTATGAATATCAGTTGCTAATATGTGAATAATATGTAATCAATAAAAAAGTAACTGCAGTCTCATTATGAGTGTTTTCAAATTTAATATAATCTAATTACAAGTACTTAATTTTTAAGTACTTAATCCAGATGACATGTAATCAGTTCCCAGCACGTATTATATATTATATAATACAATTCAATAATAGCACATTGTCTTTCTAGAAATATTTCTCTCTGTCTCTCATCTTCACATTGTAGGAACTGTTTGATGAAATCAGGCGATATTTGATTCAGACTGAGGTTAGCCGCTGGTCATCTGTTCTTTCTATTGTCTGACCAGGGGATTTTACTCACTCTGAACTTCTATTAGGAAGTTCTGCTATTGATTCTCAAAGAGAGCAGTGTGTCAGTGTACAGGGCCAAATTTTGGATCCTTCACATGCCCTTTCATTGATCTGTTTAGGAGTATAATATGGACACGAGGAATACATGGAAGGGTCATTTCAGTTTTTAAACACAAGTAGACAAGACTGAAGCAGGATCAAAAGAAGATGACAAATGCCTTTGATGCTGATTGAAATATTTCAACTGCAAAATCAATTAAATGTGTCTTGAAGTTATATCGTTAGTATGCATGTTGGGTTTGAACTGTGAAGCTGAGCACACAACTATGGAGACAGTAGTCTACAGTGAGTCTCCCACTAACAAAATATTGACCAGGAAACTAGATGTGTAATGCATTAGATGAAAAAAGTACAGTTAGCTGAGGATCATAATGCGATAATAGCACAACACAAAAATGTTGCCGGAAACCTCACATTAAAACCTCCTGGCTTCCCGGAGTTACAAAGAGAATCCTGTTTCTTCAGCATAAAGTACTTAAGATTTTAATAACTGAATGATAGTATATTTGAATGTCAACTTTATAAGATGCTTTCTAGCAGATTTGTATGGAAGCCCGTTTCCGTCACTAAATAAAACATTTTTTTAAGTAATTGCGACTTTTTATATCACAGTTCTGACTTTTCTCTCAATTGCGAGTGTACATCTCGCAATTCAGATTTTTTTCTCAGAATTGTATGATATAAACTCACAGTTGCAAGTTATAAAGTCAGAATTGTGGGATATAAAGTCACAGTTGCGTGTTATAAAGTCAGAATTGTACAGAAACGTGCACAAACTTTTTGCATAGAAACTTATTTTCTTGCAGTCGCGAGTTTATATCTTGCAATTCTGACTTTTTTCTCACAATTGCAAGTTTATATCTTCATAACTCGCAACTGTGAGTTCATATCATGCAATTCTGAGAAAAAAAAAAACAGAATTTTGGGGGAAAAGGTCAGAGTTTGGGTCAAAGTCGAAATTACCTTTTATATTTTTTATTCAGTGGCAGAAACAGGCTTCCATAGATTTCTGATTTGTCTTCGATAAACGCATAACTTTTCCAAGTCTGTCATGCTTCTGCAGCCACAAAGCTTCTCTGCTGTAGATGAAATGTAGCAACACTGCAGAATCGTGTGGCTAAAAATAGTAAGTTAAAAATGGTACTTGTGATGCATGTATTTATCAACAATTTTCCTTCACAGTGACAGAAAAAGAGAAAACTAATATATCAGACGGCAGAATGCAGAATTACACCGCCGTGCATCTGAAATCAGCTGAATATTGTAAGGGGTATTGCAAAGAGATTTGTCTGGCGGTTTAGTATTAGATTCAGCAAAACTCATAATCTGTTAAATTCAGAGAGAAGAGTAAGGTCATCTGCCACATTCGTGAAGAGACAATTTACCCTCTCGCATCTTCTATCTGATTTGCATACATATATTTATTTGACACAAATAAGAAACAAGCAGCTCTTGTTTTTTTCTGTCAAGAATCCAGTTTAAATGCTGTGCTTACTCTAATGCGAAACCGCAAGAGGTGCAACATTGCAATGTGTCAGGATTATATCAACTCAGATGAACAAATTGTATTTTAAACCCAGTTCGTTTAATCATTCATTGCACATTCAGAACAAAACATCCTCATATACCCACGAGCGAAATCAAAAGTCTCAGCACAAACGTTCACAATGACAAACAGAAACAGCTTAATATTTCAGTCCGATCCTGTTGATGTATTTCCGCTGGGTTTGAATGAAGTTTGGTGAATAATGTAGATCACATCACAAACTAAATGCGTTCATTGATATGAGCCATTACTCTATATGAGTGACATAACATGCATTGTCATCTGTCTACCTCAGAAACATACTCACTTTTGCTGTTTAGATGCTTTAAATAAAGGGGTAAATTTGTGGTAAAGGAATAGTTCACCCAAAAATATAAATTTGCTGAAAATGTACTCCCCTTCAGGCCATCCTAGATGTAGATGAGTTTGTTTCTTCATCAGATTTGGAGAAATGTAGCATTCCATCACTTGCTCACCAATGGATCCTCTGCAGTGAATGGGTGCCGTCAGAACGAGAGTCTAAACAGCTGATAAAAACATCACAATAATCCACACCACTCCAGTCCATCAGTTAACATCTTGTGAAGAGAAAAAATGTTTTTAACTTCAAGTCGTTGCTTACTAAATATGAGTATGAAAGTCCTATTTTTAGACTATTGCTTCTCCAGTGAAAAGTCGTCTTGTCTGAATCAGGAGAGAAATATGCACAGATCAAACACCTTTTACAAGTGAAAACAAATATGTGAGAGGATAACAGGAGATGGACTTTTTCACTGGTGGAAGCGTTATTATGGATTATAAACTTGTATTTAGGTTTCTATTAAGGAAACCTGTATTGTTTCTTACAAACATGCAGCTTTTGGCTTTATAAAGCATTAACTGATAGACTGGAGTGGTGTGGATTACTTGTGGATTATTGTGATGTTTTTATCAGCTGTTTGGACTCTCAATCTGACGGCACCCATTCACTGCAGAGCATCCATTGGTGAACAAGTGATGCAATGCTACATTTCTCCAAATCTGATGAAGAAACAAACTCATCTACATCTTGGATGGCCTGAGAGTGAGTACGTTTTCAGCAAAAGTTCATTTCTGGGTGAACTTTTCCTTTAAAACTCTCCATCAGCTTAACACAGTATTGGATAATGCAAACCACATTCACATACGAATCCTCCAGTTCTCATATGTTCATTGCATTTACAGGTGGAACGCCGTACAAAATTGCTGTGCTGTCCGTGCATCTAATTTGAGTATCACCAGGTAATACACACTTGTGATTATTTTGTATATATACAATCTGTTTTTATTTGAGAGGTTTGTCTAGACACTGAGAAATTGGTTTAGACTTTAATGCCATTGTGCCCGGTAGCAAAACAGGACCGGTCCCTTTAGGAGTCACTTGAGGTTCACTGAATTGTTAATTGTGCATCTTACCGCATGATTACACAGACGAGCCAATTAAGTTCAACCAAAGAAGAATTATGATGTCATCGTATGCGCTGAGAGCTTTGTTGTGTTGCACTAATAGGCTCAGCGAGCCCGCAGGAAATCATTTCAGAGCTGATATTTTTTCAAGAGCTCCGACTGCCACATGTACTTCCTCTCTGGAAAGCACTCTGGAATTTTAATCCGCCGGAAGTCCTGGATGCATTTCTCCAGCTCCTGCTCTGGCGTCATCTTCTCCTTGGCCGGTTTCCTCCTCCCTGCCATGACGTCACGTGGCCCGGTGGTTCGAACGCGAAGCAGATCAGTTCTCCTTGGAATCGGGGTCGGACCCTTTTTCACCGGCCGGTCCAAAGTCTGGATGTTGGGCTGACGGGTGACCGGGCGCACGATGACCGTTTCCTGCGGAGAGCTGGCTTCTGATTGGGTCTCGGAACAGGAAGTGGAGAGCTCGTTGAAGGAAGTGCCACTCTCACCCTCACGCTCGCTCTTGTGGCTCTTGCAGCAGCAGTCGCAGTGAGAAGAAGACCATCCGGATGGGCCACCTTAAAAACACAAAGCCACAAAACCCACAGATGTCAACAAAGCACATACAGCCAGAATGATAACAGAAGTCGCATTGGGAGTCATTTTCGGAAGTCAGTGCAATTTTGTTGTAGGCATCAGATTGCAGAACAGTCCACCATTCAGGAATCAGGATGTGTGAAACCTGATAACAAAGGTGAAAGAACTGAGGTGAACAAAGATATTCTTCATTTCCCTTTATAATACAGCAGTTCAACCAACACAAATGCTCCTCTAATGGAACGGACGTTTCTCATTTTACACAGTTGATGCTCATGCCACCATTTAAGTAGCCCATTTAATAAAATGCATCATTTACTCAAAAGGAAATGAAACTCACCAACTTGAAAATAAAAAATATTCACGTGCACGTGCACACAGTGAAACGCATTAATATGTATGAGTGCGAGCTAGTCGCTTGGCATTGAGCAGTTTGACCTTATCAAGTTGACCTTATCAAAGACATAAAGAATCCACATTTAAATCCCCATCTGAACTATATGTATCGATCTGTTTTGTGTTTTGGACAAAGAACTTTGCTAAAACCACAAAGGGCCGAGTCCTTGTCTTAAATATAACAGTGTGCATCAATCCCTTTTGTTATCTGATGGACATGTGCATGCATCAAAACAGACTATGACTGCAGAGAAATCTCCAAACATCATAGTATTATATAGTAGCATTAGCTGAATGAAAGGACGGAACACCTTCAAATACAAAAGAAAAGAAAATGTAAATAAATAAATAAATGGTTATGAATTTATGCGCCATGGTAGATGGTCCTTTATGGACCATAAAAATGTTCATTATTGTAATGAAAATTTAAATAAATAAGTACATGCATAAATAATAAAAAGTAAAGAATTTCAATATTGTGTTATTAAAAAGGAAGCATTAGTTAAGACCTTTAAAATTCTCTTTATTGTAATGCAAAAAGAAAATATAAATAAATACATTACACATCATGGTGTGAAAATTAATATTTTTTCAAGACCATTTAAATTCTCATTACTGAAATGCAAAAGTAAATAAATAAATACATGCATAAATAAATAAAAAATAATAGTAAAGATTTTAAACATTGTGCATTAAACTGATGCATTGTTTTTTAAAATCTCATAAATAAATAAATAAATTGTAAGGCATTTATACATCATGGTGTTGCTTGTTTCCGTGCATTTTTGTAATACTGATTTTGATTTTAAAACATAAAACAAACTTTTCCTTTAAAGTAATGGGAATTTATATTGTTTTGCATTACGATAATTTAGTTGAAAAATATGCTTAAATATAACAATGTCAATGCAAAAACTGACTAATTTCTTTATGCATATATGTAAATTGTTCCTATAATTTGGGGATGAAATATGACCCGGACATTACAGTGAGAGATTCACCCACCCAATTCACAGTATGTGGATGATCTTGCACATTTGTGTGTATAATCGCTGCTGCGTTTTCTCAATCCAAACCCTATGAATCGCAACTGTGGCTTCGAGAACATAAAACGCAGTACCTATAGCTTGATAGAGGCTGGATAAAATAAGTCAGATGTTTTCTCCCCATGGGTCACCGTACCGCCATCTTCCTGTTATTGGTATTTCTCTTTCTTTCACTCATGTATAGAATTTCAACCCTTTCACCATCAGCTTGACATACTATTAAAAAGAATGATCACCAACGAGACGTCATCAGCATAGAGGGATGCTATTTTACATCTGAGTATCGTTATTAGCTAAACACGACTCTCAGAACCAATCATTTGTGTTCATTGTGTCTCCGAAGAAGCTAATTTATCCTGATTAATAACAAAATCATTCAACTGAGCTGCAAATAAATTTTACTGAATGCAATAACAGGCTAATTGAAGGCGGTGTGATTGCTAGTGGCTTTCTAATGGGAATCTGACACCAGAATAAGCAGAACATTTCACTGCATAACAATTAAAGCAAGTTCTCCGCTTTCCTCTGCACCCACTTCTCCTCTCTGTCCATCTCTCATCTTCGCTTCCCTTTGCCTGCAGCATATGAAGTGTGAATAGAAAGGCTTTTATTGAAGGATTGTTTCAAAACGGATGGTGCAGCCTGATGGGACCACAAATCAAGAAGTGAGGCGAGCAACTATAACGCTGCCATAAAACTAAATAAACTGGGTTGGAACTGCTCCTCAACTTGCTGTTGTCCTCAGACGGCATATTTATATGGAAGCTCGCGCTTCCCAGAATCAGACCGTAAAGATCTGGAGACAGTGCATTCCATGATCATTGCTTATTGGTATTACTGTAAGCGGTAAATATCAAATGGCCTTGGTCAGCAGGACATTAGGCTAATCTGGTGCTGTTTACCATTAATACTTACCTTATGGCTGCAGTTTCTATCAGACAAGAAATTGATTGCATTTTGCTGTATCCACCCCATCCTCTGTCTTCTGATCTCCGAGCGACTACAGAGCAGCGTATACGGCTGCACGGATCATATTGCAGCCCCATTACGGTTGGGGCTTGTCTGCAGAGCTAAATCTGTTACCGTATGTGAGTGCCTTTTCGTGAATTACACAAACCTGAGAGATGCATTTGGCACTGGGCTCGAGCAGAGACAATCTCATCACAAGGGGCAACCACCCACCAGAGTCTACCCACAATGCATTGCATCTAAATGCCTGAGAGTGCTTCAGATCACAATTCTCCTGAGCGGCATGCTCGGCGTAATGTGTTTGCTAGCACTACAGCGGAGCTCAGACAGTAATCCTAAAAATAGTGTGACGCACATCTATGCATCTTCTTATGCTCACATGAAGCAGCCGATGCTAATATGGGTAAATTATATGGGCGGCAACTAATGTATTTGTGTTTATGACCTGCAGTCATAATGCTTCCTGTGTATCTGTGCATTAAAGTTTGCAGAGATGTTTAACTCTTCAAAACTATGGTAAGAAATTAATTAATTATGGATTATGTTTACTGGAAATTACAAGGAATGCAGACCCATTATCTACTTCTTTACTTCACTTGATTTCCTCTTCCGTAGGAAAGAGACATCACAAATGAGATTTCTTTGAAATCTGAATGGTTTTTCCTACACTAATGAGATCAAATTGAGAACATAGAGATTTAGAAAAGACAATAATAATCTTATGTCTACTCTGCTCATCAATAACGTCTCAAGGTTACGTATGTAACCCTAGTTCCCCGAGGGAACGAGACACTGCGTCGAACGCTTTGGGAACGCCTTCAGCGTGACTATGCTCTGAATTGTGTGTGTAATCAGACCAATGGATGGGCGTGACATCACGGATGGGGTGACGTGTGACCAGGAAGCTATAAAAGCACGTGAGGTGGAGACAGCGGCACCTTCTGGAGAATGAGGGAAGCGCTTGCAGGGATGCCGGAAGTATGGCAGGAGACGCAGCGTCTCGTTCCCTCGGGGAACTAGGGTTACATACATAACCTTGAGGCGTTCCCCTTCAGGAACTCGAGCTGCGTCGAACTCTTTGGGAACGAGATGCCCATGCCGCCAGACTTTCAAGTCCCTGCGTAGTGTGTATGACTTCAGTGTATACTACGGCAAGAGGACGGAGGAACCAGGAGCGGTACAAATGTCAAGGTCGTAGAACCTGACAAAGATGAGCGGCGTAGACCAGTCCGCAGCGTTACATATATCCTGCATAGCCACACCCGACAGGAAGGCCTTAGAGTCCGCCACACTTCGGGTGGAGTGAGCCTTGACCCCTAAGGGTGAAGGAAGGCCAGCGGACTCATATGACATAGTAATGGCATCAACAATCCACCTACTGAGGGTCTGCTTAGTGGCAGGCAGACCCCTCTTGGAAAGACCATAACAAACGAATAATTGGTCAGACTTCCTCCACATGGCAGCTCTGTGGATATATGTGTCCAGTGCTCAGTGCTCGCACTAGACACATGCTATTTAGCTTCTGCTGGTCAGGCTCCCTAAAGGGGGGAGGACACAAAGCCTGACGTACCATGGGCCATGGTACTGAGGAGGGCACTTTAGGGACATACCCCGGCCTGGGGTACAGAAATGCTTTGGCCAAGCCGGCCGCAAAGTCTAGGAAGGAGGGGGCCACTGACAAGGCCTGCAAATCTCCGACTCTCTTCAGTGAAGTGATGGCTAACAAGAAGACAGTCTTAAGTGTCAGAACTCGATCTGAAACCTCCTCAATAGGTTCGAACGGAGGTTTACAGAGAGCCTCCAGGACCACGGCCAAGTCCCATGGTGGAACACGAGGTCGTACGGGTGGCCTCAGCCTCAGCGCACCATGGAGGAAACGTGTAACCAGCAGTGTTAATTTTGACAGCAAATTTTGATTTAGTTTTAGTCATATTTTAGTCATCTGAATTGTTTTTAGTTTTAGTCGAATAAATATCATACGATTTTAATCGACTAAATCTACAGTAAATTTAGTCGGCTAAAATCTAATGGGTTTAGTTACAGTGCATTTATTAAGCATTTCTCCAAAATTTCCTAACTCATTATATAGGTTTGATATTAAGGTTTTATTATGATAGACACACTGCGGTGACACACAACATGCCTTTATGTTAAAATTAAATAAAACCACTTCTCATAAAGAACAAGTACATGGTCTTCTTTTTAATGAAATACCAATGGTTATATAGGCTAATTATGCATTCTTTATAGCAACTTTTTTAACATATTCTTCATTTTTTTAAGCAGACATATTTATTTATATAAATAAATTTCGATTAATCTTTAGGGCTACTAAAGTTTTTCAGTCAAGAGCAGTGCGTGATTTTCTGTCTTTCTTTTGTTGCTTGATTAACATCAACGTTCATGCGACACGAGAGAGTAGTATGTGCCGTGAGACGCGCTTTCTGTGTGTATGTTTCAGTGTCTGCACTCTGAAAACCGGACCGAATTGAGTTCTCTCTTGCGTCCAAGGCACAAAAGCATCACCGCGTGACCTTGATCATGCGAAGCGGATTTCCCCATGGGGAAAA